GAGGGCAGGGCTGGGCCCTAAGGAGCCCTCTTTCCTCTCTCTGCTCTGGGGGAAGGAGGATACGTGCTCCTGTCTGCAGGACTGGAGAGTTTTTAATTGACTTGTAAACGCCTCTGTGTAAGGGTTAGCTCTCATTGAGGGACTCGTGTTCAAAGAGAGCACAGGCTTCTGTGTGCAGGCAGCCTCCTGGGTAACACAGATGGGCCCCTCTGCCCGGCACACGCGGACGCACTCTTTCTAGGGAGGACATGACAGGCGGGTGGAATGAGCGCCGTGTGCCAGGTCCCCCACACCCAGGGGCTGCCGGGCACATCCCGAGCCTCTGGTCCCGCACGGTGGGCAAGCGAGACACTTTAAGCTGCTCCATGGCTGGCTTTGGAGCCTGTGCTCTTTCTACTATGTTGGGGCATTCTCTCAGCTCCTAAAACCTATAAGCCAACCCTAAAAATTTGAGAATATCCACTACGTGAGCAGTCAATGCAGTATTCAACTATGTTTCATGATGCAGAGTGTTTCTCTGAAGGAGAGTGGCTCAGTCAGGCAGGACCACCTCAGAAGTCTGCAATAGCTCGCTTAGTCCTTTTAAGAAAAATAACTGTTGAAAATAGCCCAGGTAAGCAGTCTGTTCTGGCATCTGTGTAGGAGTGTGTTTGAGTGTGCGGGCGGGGATGAGAACACGGGTGCACATCGAGGTGAGTGAGCTCATCTTTTTTCTGTCCCCTTTTCAGAGCCTCTTATGAGAGCAATCAGAAATATCACAAATAATAGACTTTTTAGGTAAACATTTGGTCATAATTCCTTGGCCTCGAAGTCTAAAGTTTGTTACCAAAGAGTAAAGTAAATACAGTTGACCCTTGGGCGCCTGGGTGGCTCGTGGGTTAAAGCCTCTGCCTTCAGCTCAGGTCATGATCCCAGGGTGCTGGGATCGAGCCCCACATCGGGCTCTCTGCTCAGCGGGGAGCCTGCTTCCTCCTCTCTCTCTGCCTGCCTCTCTGACTACTTGTAATCTCTATCAAATAAATAAATAAAATCTTAAAAAAAAATACAGTTGACCCTCGAACAACATGGCTTGAACTGCTTGGGTCCATTTATATGCAGGTTTTTTTTTCAATGGACAGTACGGTACTATAAATGTATTTTCTCTTCCTTACGATTTTCTTAATGGCATTTCCTTTTCTCTATTTTATTTTAAGACTACGGTGTGTAATACATACAACATACACAACACATATTAACTGACTGTTTAATGTCATTGGTAAGGCATCTGGTCAACCCAGGCTATGGGTAGCTGAAGTTTTGGGGAGTCAAAAGTTATGCATAGATTTCTGACTACATGGGTCTGTGCCCCTGACCCTGGAGCTGTCCAAAGGTCAGACGCATATTCTTTTATTTCACATTTCAGAATCTCATGCTGTTTGATGAGATTTAGTCATTTTCTGTTCCAGAAAGTTTCTTCTTTGTGGTCCAACTAGCAAAGTGACATCTTTAAGACACATTATCCTGAGAAGCCTCGTCTGGCCTCCCTGCTCCTCTCCCATCCCTCTTTTGTGGTAGTCACTGCCCCGAAGAAACAGGTCCACAGAAACCCCTGCCACACCACAAGGAGAGGCCGCAAATATTGGTAGTGTAAGAAGAGAAAAGTCAGGGGCGCCTGGGTGGCTCAGGTTGTGATGCTGGGGTCCTGGGCTCGATCCCCACATCGGGCTCCCTGCTCAGCAGGGAGTCTGCTTCTCCATCTCCTTCTGCCCTCCCAGCTCCTGTGTGCACTCCCTCTCTCTATCAAATAAATAAATAAAATCTTAAAAAAAGAGAGAGAGAGAGAAGAAAGCTCAGGAGGAAAACATTTAGAAAGTGTCCTAACTTTCTCAGCATAAAAGTAATTTAGAATACAAAGTTTTTAAAAGAAGATTCCCCTAAGCATGACGAAGCTATATAGAGCTTGAGAGCACTGGACACAACAGAGACGGGGACCACGGACGTCTCTCACACCTTCAACACGTAAGGTCTACAAGCAGCGCCCCCAAAGCCAGGCTTAGGGCTAAGGCAGAGTCTGCAGAGGTCCCACAGGAGCCCCTCACTGTCCTTCCCCCCAGCAGAGGGTCCGGGGTTCTGCAGTAAGTAAGACAGGACGCAGCCCTGATGTCCCACCTGCACCAGGCTCGGTGGGCTCCTGCGAAGCCGCCACTGACGTCTCTTTTCATCCCCCCGACACTGTTAGAGAGGACTGCTCTCCTACTCTACAAACGAGGTCACCAAAGCTTAGAGGAGCCAGCTAGGGTGCTGAGTTTTCATAGGTAACGAGTGGGAGACCCTGAACTTACACAGGGCGACCTGCCGTCAGAGCACAGGCTCCTGCCCGAGGTGGGCCCTCTGCTCTGAAACCAGGCACCTGACCCGAAGCCCTATCCACCCTGAGTGCCCTGGCCTGGGTCACGCCTGTTTCTTTGGAAGACCCCACGTAAATGTGAGCTTTGAAGTCCATGGGCCAGAGTCCCCCCTCGGTGGGCTGGGACCCTGCCAGCTCCCGGAGGCACCTTCCTTGAACACACACAGAGACCGAAGAGCCTGTTTGGAAACTTCACAGCCTAACTTCGGGCATACTGGATTGTTCCACAACTGAGGACTCGTGTCTCTTAGTCGCCTCCGACAAATCCCCTGCCAGCAGAAGCTGCTCGCCCACGGGGAGCTGTTCAGTCAAGCCGGAGCTTCTCCTGAGCTTCCTGTTACTCTGCCCCTCGCCCCCCCAGGCTACCCCACTGCGGGAGCAGCGCAGGGCCCTCCCATCCGGCCCCCACACGTGCTGTCTGCACTGCTCGAGCTTCGCTTTCCCACCTGGGGTGGGTGAAGGTCCTGTTCCTGCCTCCTCACCCATGACAGGCCATACTACTCTTCCCAGCTATTTGCTGTACTTCCCGTACGTCCCAGACGTCTGTCCTGTACCCGCAAGGCCCCCACTTTTAGGAGGAGGATACTTTCTGCTCTACCGATGCCCGTCTTGCGCATGTCGCTTGTTTGGAACAAAAAAATTTTCAGTGGAAGATCGGACATCAGATCCCCTAGGTCCAGAGTCACAGTGTGGGTCTGCCACAGCTTGGCCGTTAGAATGGCACACGGGGGCTACGGCTGGTCCCAGAGTGAAGAAGGCCAGGGGCTGCGGCGGCCCCTGACCTACAGCCAGCAAGGAGCATGAGCAAAGGCCAACCTCGGTTGGGGTAGTTAGTGAGCCCCTGAGGTTTGGGGACTGCCATTGCAGCATAACCTGGCAAAAGTGACCTGGGCATGAGAAACCAGAGGAGTTAAATCGACAAGAAGCTGGTCAGTAAAAGTATCTCAGCTTGAGGCATCAGCCTTGACTTAAGAATGATCTGTTCCTAGAAATGGCCATTGCCATCTTGTCCCTGCCTCCTGTGCACCTGCTTCTGCACAAGCTGACTCCACTTCTTAAACCTCAAACTGGCCCCATTTCTAGTGTCTCCTGGGAGCTGCCAGTATCACCCCCGGTTCCTCCCGGTTCCTGCAAGCTGGAGCCGCCTCTGCTCGTCCCCGTGACAGAGCCTCCACTCAGTGTCATGGAAAAACCAAGTTTCCCTACAGAGGAAAACACCCAGTTCTTCCTGTCTGTGTCCCTTCCCTACAAGTGTCTCTTACTGTTGCCACAGAACACTCACTTTTGGTCACCATACGTATGGGGGGTTTTCCTGGCGGCTGGTTCCTACAATTTCACTCAATTCTGCACTACCTGGAATTAGCATCAGACCCCACAGGTTAAGGGGTCAGTCCAGAGGGGAAGACGGACAGTATGGAAAAATCACACACTAACTTTATGCGAACACAGGTAACTATGCAGACATCACCCAGGAGAGCATATTACCTATGCCCTGACCCTTAGGCCATCCTGGATGACAAAGGACTCTGAGGAAGCCATGTGTTCTCTGGAAAGGCAACTATGATTGACATTAACCAGGATGGGGGTGTGGGGCGCAGACTGGGGGGGGGAGCAGAGTTTCCTCAGTGGTGGCGACATGGCGGGGACCCTGAACAGACCTGCTCTGCTGGGGGAGCCAGGGCCTCTGGCACGGTGTGCACCCCGGTCCTTCACAAGGGACCAGGCACTGAAGGCCGTCAGGGCCACAGAAAACCCAAGGGGACAAGACACACTTGCAGCTGGGTGGTTTGGGGCAATCTGTGAAGGTGCAGTTTTTGAGGACCTAGAAGGAGGACGTGGGCGGTGGAGGGTGGAGGGAAGTGGTTTTAGCCCCTGCTCTGAGGATCTGCACCCGCCACTCCCCCCACGCCCCCTGTTCTTAGACCCAAGGACATTCCTTTGCTGCCACAGCTCTGCTTCTCCGTGAGAGTGTCCCGATGGCACTCGGAGGGTGAGGGGGCAGCTTCCGCGGTGACACCCAGCCCTTCGCCCCGGGCTCCGTGAAGTGCTGCGCGCAGGAGGCACCGTGTGAGCGGAGCGGAGCGGAGTACAGTGGGTTGGGGCCGGTGTGGGGACCGAAGGCCCGGGCTGCCTCCCTGACGGCCCTGTGCTGGGAAGAGCAGGGAGTCCCGCGGGAACAGCCGCGCGCCAGCTGCGTTAAGCCGTCCGCGGGGGCCCAGAGGCCGCTCTCTCCGCCGGGCACCTCGCCGGGGCCCTGGGAGCCCGGCGCTGCGGCACCTGTCACCGCCTCTGCGCACAGTGTCCCGGAGGCGGCCCTGCCCCGCGGGGCCCCTGGCGCTTCAGCTCTGCGAGGAAGGGCCCGAGGACACACGGGACATCACCGAAGGCAGGCCCGGGGCGGGAGCGAGGCCGAAAGAGAAGCCTCCGCCCAGAGACCCGAGCGAGAAGGGCGAAGGGCCGGGATTAGGGGCGTGCCCGCCTGAGGGGGCGTGTCCCGGCGGCGGGGCGTCTGGGGGCGTGTCTGCCGGGCCGGGGGCGTGCCCGACTGCGGGGGCGTGTCCGGGACCGACCTTCCAGGGCCGGAAACTTGCGGGTCCGGACGGCTGGGCGGTGTCAGCTGCGAGGTCGCGGTTGGGGTCGCGGCGCCGCACCGGCAGGGAGGCCTGCGCGTCTGGGCGCCCGGGTGAGGCGGGGACCCCGGCCGGGGCCTCTCGGGACAGCGGACGCCTCCGGGGTGGGGTCGGCCGGTCAGAGCTCGGCGTCAGGGGTTTCGTCCATTTTCAGGGAGACGCGGGGCCTGGCGCCGGACACCGGAGGCTTCTTGTCCCGGAGCGCGTCGTCGCCTGGCTGGGCGCGCGATGAAGCCCGCGGCCGCCCACGGCCTGCTCCTGAGCTCCCTCTGCCTGGCGCTGTGCTGCCGGGGCGGCGCGCGCGGGTCCCCCACGAGGTGAGCCCGGAGCCCCGGAGTGCGTGCGGCGCGTCGGGGCTGGCGCAGGGCGGGGGCCGGGTCGGGGCCGGGGTCCAGGCCGGGGTCCGGGGTCCGGGTCGGG